CTCCCCACTCACCGGCACCCCTGGGGTTGCAGGAACCATGCAGCTGGGGCCCTCCCCCTCCACTCCCCACTCACCGGCACCCCTGGGGTTGCAGGGACTGTGAGTTGCTCAGAGTCATCCCTTACTCACAGGCCCACATAGAGCACTAGGCCAGGCTTACAGTCCAGGGATGCTGGGTGTCTGTCCACTGCTGGATAACAAAACTTCCAGAGGGTAGAGGTCACACCCTGCTCACCTGTGTGCACGGAGGTGACCCCCCAGGTACACTCCCAGAACAGAATCTGACCGGGCCCGAGTCCCAGGGCAGCCTGCTTCCGCCGAGATTTGCAGCCTCGGGAACCCTGTGGGCCGCGAGCCCCCATCACAGTGCCAGGGTACACGGCAGCCTCCTTCAGCAGCTCCGGCCACCAGAGTCAACCGTGTTTGCCCGGGTCACCAGTTCTCAGAGAATCCGGATGGCGAAATAGCAGCCCCCACACCCCTTGAAAACCCTGTGGACCACAGCTGTACCCCGACGCACGCAGGGTCGCCCTGAGTCGGGGTGAACTCAGTGGCAGCTGGTTTGGTTTGGTTTTGGGGGTTTACGTCCAAAAGGTGGCCTCAGGTGATGCAAACAGTTAACACACTCAAAACGTTGGAGAGTCAAGTCACTCAGAGACGCGTCGGAGGAAAGGCCTGGCCGTGACTCTGAAACATCAGTCACAGGAAACCCCACAGCGCACAGCCCACGCTGACACGCACAGGTCCCAGAGTCCACTCTACCACACCGGGTTTGGGGAGCTTGGGTCCTGTGATCACATCCCTGAAGCCAAGCTCCCCTGGCCCCCAAAAAGAGCCGTCCCATTTCACCTCCCGATTTCCCCAAACACCGGCTGCCTCCCTTCAGAGGCTGGCTGGAGCCGCCCCCACCTGCTCCGCTGGCTGTTACCCCGAAGCTTTGCCTCCTTGGTTCTGGACGGTGTGCTGCGGGCAGTCGGTCACACGGGTGCCCAGTGAGTCCTTCAAAGTGATTTTCATCACTGTGCTGAGAATCTGTCATAGTTCATGATAAGGGGGGCCAACTAGGTGCAGAAGTGGGGGGGGTGAGAGCCAACAGCAACTCACAATGATCGGGGTGTCGAGGCCAACAGCCCCCCTGTGTCCCTGTCCCAGCCACAGTCCTTGTAGCCCAGCCGCTGGCTGGCAAGCTGTGCCTCAATGCCCCCGAGCTGGAGAGACTGCAAACTCGCTAATCACTTCCAGCAAAGTGTGAGCGAGGAGGTAACACAGGCTCAGAGAAACACGCTTAATAAAGAGAAAACAGAAACTGTGGTGGGAAAACACACACACACACAAACACAGGGTGGGCCGGTTCCGGCTGCGATCTGATCAAATCCGGTCCAATCTAAGGACACCCCGAGGTGCTCAATCATTAAGTTACAACAAACAGATTCTACGTGCACCTGCCGCAGCTGGGCCCGGCCGGGCGCTGTGGATGGAAAATGCTGGGGGGACAGCGCCCTCTAGTGTCCGGCCTCTACCTCTACAAGTGAGGCCAGAATCCAAAGCCAAGCCCACTGGCATCCAGTGGGTTCTGACGCACCGCGACCCCACAGGACAGAGTGGACCTGCTCCATAGGGTTTCCAAGGCTGTCATCTTCAAGGAGAGGAGCTCTGATGGTGCTGTGGTTAAAGCACTGGGCTGCTAACCAAAAGGTCAGAGGTTCAAACACGCCAGCCACTCTGCTGGGGAAAGATGAGGCGGCCTGCTTCTGCAAAGATTCACAGCCTCGGAAACCCTATGGGCAGGTCTACTCTGTCCTGCAGAGTTGTTAGGAGTCGGAATCAACTTGATGGCCGTGGGTTTGTTTGTCCGCTGCAATCCCTACAGAAGTAGACGACCACATCCTTCTCGTACGGAGCAGCGGGTCGATCGAAATTGCCAGCCTTTGGGTTAGCAGTCAAACCCTTTGACCACTGTGCCACCTGGGCGCCTTACAAGAGAGCTAAGAGGAGAGAAGCCAGCTGCTGGGAGTCAGGCACCTTCCAGAGCTTAGGGGAGGACCCTGAAGCCCCCAGCCCCCGGGCCTGGCAGCTGAGCGCCCCCCGAGAACCTCAGAGCCAATGCAACTCAGCCAAGCTCCATCCGTCGCCGAGTGACTCCCAGGGGTCCCCGTCCAGAGACCCTTGGAAGGAACGGCCCAGAGGACGGACGGGAGCTAACAGCACAGTGAGTGTCCCTCCCCGCCCCTCACAGTCAGGGCCCGGGACACCCCTCTCCTTCCAGCCTTCCTCACAGGGAACCGTGTGCACTTGGGTTATTAACGTAGGCACAGACACGTGGCCTGCTTTGTCCGCACACCTCCCACACCTCCCAGCTCCCTGCACAGTGCCTGGCCTGGGGGGAGGTCCCTCACAAACACCTGTGAATTAAAAACAAAGGGAAGACCATTGGGACCTCTAGCAACCCTTTCCTAAAATCCTTTTTGCAACTCCCAGGGCCTCCTTTTACTCCTTCATGGATCTCTGTGGTGCAGTGAGAGGGCCCCCCAAGATGGCCACACCTCACGTGGGGGTGATGCAGAGGGAATGCAGCGATGGATGTGGAGATGGGAGGTCAGCCCGGGCCCAGGGAAGCACAGGGCTCCTTGCAGGAGGAGGCAGGAGGCTCCAGCCGGACAAGGCCATGTGACAGTGAAACAGCGATGGGAAGGTGCACGCGATTGTCTTGGAAGACGGAGGGCAGGGCCACGAGCCAAGGGCTGCAGGCAGCCTCTAGAGGCTGGGGCAGGCAAGGGAATGGCTTCTCACCAAAAACTCTGGAAGGAACTCAGGCTGCCGACACCATCTCAGGCCACCGCCCCTGCAGGACTGTAAGAGTCCATCTGCGAATCTGTTGCAGGAGTGAGAGGAAACTGAGACAGTCTCCACAGTCCCCACTTCTCACCTCGTTTCAAAAGCCCTGGGGCGCTCCTCCTCTAACCACCCAGCCTTCACTGAGCACCTACTATGTGCCGATCACACCCGGGTCAT